AGAGAGTGGAACTGTCCCCACCACCAACAGGGGTGTCCTTTCACGCTGCGGTGGCGCCTTAGAAACCAAGGGGCTGGAGAGCGAGGCTGTGTGGGCGGGAAGGCAGGCATGTGGGTTTTCCTTCCACCTGCGCCACCAGATCAGGGCACCTGCTCTGGGCCGGCCCGGAGTCCCCGCCATGGCTGTGAGGGCGGCGGTGGGGTGGGCGCACAGGCTCCAGGCAGAGAACAAAGCTTATCTAGAGCTTTGGATCTTTCTTTCCCCACCCGTGAGCTGAACAAACTCGAGCAAGTTACTTAACTCTCTCTGAGCCTCAGTTTTTTGTTTTTGGGTTTTTTTTTTTTTTGAGAAAAATGGCAGAATAATACGTACCTGGGTCAGTCTGAGGATTAAATGAGTCCGTGAGGGGAATATGCTGTGTGAACTGTCAGGTACTATCCAAGGTTCTTTTTAATGTCATGTCACTGATTGCTAAGAAAAGAAGAGTTGGTCAGAATAAGTTTGGGCTCAAGGCCCTGAGTGTGAGGACCAGAAGAGGGACGGACAGCAAGGACCGTGCCGGGGGTGTGGAATTCTGGCTCGGCTGGTGCGGCAGGTGGGAGAGACTGCAGGATGGAGAGCAGTGTCTTCAGCCGGGATGAGCCCCTGGGGACGCCAAGGTGAGTTACTTCAAGGAGTTTCCTAATTTGTGGGCACAGGAAATGGTTTCATCTGTGTGAATGAACAGTGTTTCCCTGTGAAACCGTTTTGCAAATGCACATAGTTGCTGTTGTGATGATTAAAATATGGGTTCATTTAAAGGCATCACGGAATTCATGGTGACTTTTCGGCCCAATAACTTTTCTTGAACAATTTGGTGGGGATAATCAATGATCTGGTAACTAACGGATGGGTGGGGACCACTCTACAGGGTGGGGCTTTCTTCATGCAGGTAAGATAAAATGCATCTGAGGAGAGAGGCGCTAAGGACCCAGTGCACAGGCTGGGGGGTGAGGGTGGAGACTGGCTGGTGGGCCGAGGAGAGACCCGTGCAGAGGCACCCCTGGAGGAGTCTGGGCTCGGGGGTCAGCCGGGGCTGGCTTCACATCCCTGTTCTGCACCCCGCCCCACCCCCGCCCCTTGGGTGGTAAGCAAACATACACTGTAATCTTCAGCCTTTATAGAATTTATGAGGATCAAATGGAAGATTATTTTAAAGCCATGCTAAATCCTCGGAAATGTGAGTTGAATAATAAAAAGAGGGCACCCTCTCTTTGGCAGAATACTTTTCTTTTCCTATTTCCTCTAGTCCACTGTTCCCTACTAGGAGCTCAGAGAAGCAGGTCTCAACTTAGAGAGTTTAATTAAGAAGAAAAACAGCCTGCGATGTCTGTTTTCTCTCTAGGAAGCTGGGAAGGGGAGGAAGCCCATCACTCAGCCCTTGTTTCCTTGAAGGAAGGAGCTGCTCGGTTATCAGCGGGTATTTTGGCTTCGTCTTGGTCGTCGGGTTGACAGTGCTGGTCCCAGGAGTTCAGGAGCCTCTGTGGCTTCCGGTGGTAAAGGGTGATGGGAGCACCCCTGCCCCGAGGGCTGGGACCATCATTCATCCGGCTCAGAGCCGGTGCTCACACGTGCGGCTGAGGGGTGAATAAATGAACAAAGGATGGAAAGGTCAGCCTGTGCCTTGTCCTGTCCTGAAAGTTTCCCTTCCTGAGGTGCTCAGGCCCCCAATGCTGGCTGTTTGAGGGCAGTATTTCACTGTGCTGCCTGCCCCTAGGACTTGAATCTCAGCCTTGTTCTGTGATAGGAGGAAATGAGATGCCTTTTTTTCTGAGGCAAATGGTAGAGTTTAGGGTAGTGTGATTTTGCCAAAATCACAGGCAAAAGGTCTGCCCGGCCCTCATCCCTTTCTGTACCCCTGTGCAACCAGAGAGTTCAATTAAAAAAAAATGTTAAACCAATTCACATCACTAACATTAATGTGCTAACAACTTGTTGTAAGACCTGGGGGAACATTTCCATTTTCATAGACTACGCTTAGAGCCGGTAAGTTTTCTCCTGGAGAGAAGTTCGTGAACCTGGAGTCGGGAGATTTGGATTCGATCCGCAGGGTACAACAGGTTTTCAGCCTTGAGTGAGTGCTCTCTCTCTGTTCCTCTCTGACTCTCTCAGCCTGTAAACTTAAAAAAAAATTGGGCTAGATGATACACACAGTATAACAGAGAGTGGATTACCCTGTGCATGCATTCTTTATAACAATTTTATACGGGTGGTACTGTCCATGGCGCCATTTTACAGATGAGCAAACTGGGATCCAGGGAAGTGAAGAGCCTTGCCTGAAGCTGACAGCTGTTAAGGAGCAGAACCAGGATGCAAACCCAGGCAGTAAGACGCCAGCATCTCCCTGCCCCCTCATACCATTCAGCCCCTCCCTCTCACGTTCGAAAACCAACAAGCCCGTGTAGTCACATCAAAGTGGAAATCACAGTAGGTGAGGGCAGAAGGAACTTTGCTTAGAGTCTGTCAGGTGCCTCACACCCTCCTCCTTCCCACCCCCGGGCTGCAGACACTGGAGTTGGGTGGTTTGCTAGACACAGGTGCAGTGTTTACAGTTTCCAGAAAGGCGGTCCCGAGCCCCTGAACCCCCTCTCACGCCTGGCCCTTCTGGTCAGATGTGTATAGATCTGCCCACAGTAGGTCCTAATATACAGCTGATAGTCGGTTTCATGAAAACAAAGATCTTCCCCCAGATCTTGTGTGTTCAAACTAAATAGCAAGCCATCAGAAACGACCAATGGAAGTGATCAAAATAGAATTAGATGATTAGCTACGCTAATGATGTGGGATGAAGGGTTGAAACGGAGAAATGTGCCCAGAAGGGGTGGCCCCCTTCCCCGCAGGGGCTTGGGGACCTAGGAGCAGTCACAATGCTGGGAAGTGTGGGTGGAAATGATGGGGGGGTACACCTTGGCCGGCCTGGTGGGGGGCGGGGAGTGAGACAGGGACGGAAAGCCAAGTTCCCTGGAAGATCTGTGCCAGCTCCTTGAAGCTGTTTTGATGGAGTTCAGGAGGTCAAGAGCATAGACTGAAACTCAGATGCTAGTGGCCACGTGGGGACAGACACTGTCTGAAGACCTAAAAGAGAGCAATGCAGTTAAACCAGAGCGAAAAGGAAAAGAGCATGAAAGTCATCTGGTGCAAATCTCCCTGGAATAAGACCAGAGTGCTGACGGCTAGGGGTTGTTCCAGGGCGCGGGCGATGCTCCGAGCCTGGGCACCACCTGCCCTGCTGCTCTGTGCTGCTGTGTTAGGCAAGGACACAGGGTGCACAGGGTAAGACACTTGCTCTCGGTCAAGGCTGGAGCCCGCATCTGAACCCCGCGGGCTGGCTTAGAGCCCATGCTTCTGCCCTCCCTGTGCCTCGAGCGGCTGGTTGACAACGTGGCTGAGGAAGTGGCAGTGGACGTTAGAGGGGAGACTCAGGGGATGCCAGTATCCCCGGCAGGGCCTTGGAGGGAGCCCTGGCCTCCACACAGGGCAGCGGGGGATGCTCTCCTGCATGCAGTGGGGTCCCCCAGGCAGGCTTCACTGGAGTTCTCTGAGCCTCCTTTTGTCAAACGACTTAAAGATGAGGAAATCGTGGTGCACCACACAGGTGGACAATCTAAATTTACTAGCTTTAAAGATCATTCTCACGGATTGTCCTCAGTTAGGATGCCTGAGTCTGGCCTCCCTAAGGGACCCCAGTCTGGGTCAGTTTGTCTTTGAGTCCAGTCTTGGAGGATGGGGTTGGGAAGGGACCTGGGGGTTCCAGGAGCTCTCTGTGTGGACTTTCATCCACCTCCCCTCTCAACCCTACTTTCTGGATACCTGGAACCTCTCAGCAATCTACAGGCAAATTGTCTCTCATCTTCTGAGTCGTCCTCTGCAAGCCTTCTGTTGTAAACGCTTTACTCTGACAAATAGGTTACCATTGGCCACTCCTTTTCAACAGCTTTATTGACGTGTAACTGACATGCAATAAACTACACACTAGAGTGTACTCCTCGATAAGTTCTGACGAATGTATACACCCATGACACCATCACTACAGTGAAGATAGTGACCATACCCATCGCCTCCAAAAGCCTCCTCATACCTTTTATAATTCGCCCTCCCGTCTCTGCTGCACCCACCTGCCCAGACAACCATCATCGGCTGTCCCTCGCTCGAGATGGGGTGGCGTTTTCTAGATTTTATGTAAATGAACGCATACAGTAAGTACTTCTCAGTCATCTTTTCTCACTCAGTGTATGACCTTGACAATTCAAGTATGTTCGTTTTAGAAAACACATTTCTATTTAAAATTGAAAAAGGAAACAAGGTGTCTGTTCAAT